AGGGGATCTGCCAAATGTCCCTGCGTGGGGCAGCGCACCAGGCCTTGGGAAAGGAGTGATGTTCTTGCAACTTACTGGAGATTCTGGAGCTAAAAAAACCCCAACCCTGGTAAATTCACAGTGATTTTATAAATATCCTAGAGAGAAGGGGGAAGGTTCCTGTGCATTTTCACGCTGTTGGTTTCTGACAGCTCTCAAAGACACCCAGGAGGGGATCACGCACAGGATTTGCAAATGAGGAGGCAGATGCTGTATATGACTTACCATGATAGATCCAGGCTGGAAACACAGAGTAACAGATCCCTGCTATGGACGTGCAGCTTATTTTAGAACAAACTCATGTTCCTGTACTTTCATAAAACCTCTTCCCAACAGCAGGGTGAGTTTTTCCCATATGGCAAAAAAACCCACAAACCAACAACCAAAATAAAACTCAAAGAACGAGAGCTGGTTTTTAGATCCAAGGTCTCTGCAGGCTTTAACAGGTTCCCTATCCCTGCAAACCTGTCATTGCCCACTTCAAATCCTTGTCTCTTCAAGCAAGTGCCATTCCATAATCCTATTAAAACCTTTGCCTCTGTTTACCAGGAGCCCTAATCATTCCCAGCGAGTTCTTCCCGTCTAAGGAAGAGCGACAGCTTTCAGATTTCTTCGGAGCCTTATTCATCAACTAACGCCAGAGTTTTGCCAGAGTGCTCAATCTATTCTGGGAGCAGCCATGTGGAAAAAGTTTCAAACAGCTCAAAGCCCTGCACAATGATAAAGGAAAGCTCACACAATCCTGGTAATAGCCTGACCCTCTTAAGGAAAATTGGATGATTTGTGGTAGCAGTTTTTCTGTCCCCTGTGTGAAAAGTACAAGCAGGGTATTCACACAGTCCCATTAGAAACCCCATCCCTCTTGCAGTGCTGGGATAATAAACACACACCCATATGTGAAAATAAACTCTTTGCTGCAGTGACCTTCTTCCTCAGCCCACTGGTGTGAAGGAGTTTGTGGCCATTTTAGGAAAAAAAAAAAAGAGTCAGATAAAGAATGGACTAATCTGATGTTCAGTGTTTCACCATGAGCAGAATATATGCTTTAATGAGCACATTACATGCACCAGGGACGTGTTACTGTGAAACAGAGGATAAAGAGTAAGGGGAAAATAATTAAACAGTCAGCTCTATAATGAGGAAACTGCGTTCATGCAACATTAAGTGGCCTAATTTCCAAATGCTAAGCAAAGACACGTTCCTTGGACTTCAGAAGGACTGGATGGCAAGCACCACCTTGAAAACAAGGGCAAAGGATCACAGGTAGCAAACCTCCTATAGGCCAGGAGCACAGGGTGGGCTGCTGCTGTTTCCAAGCCACCCGTCCACACTTCCCATGGACCTATCTGACAGGGTCAAAATCCTGTACCCTGCAGTTCTTACTCCATAAAGCTGTAAAATATCCCAGCGTTCATCACATGTCGTATGTAGAACCTCACAACTGACTTCTACCAGCCTGGCCTCAGTTTTCTGCAGGTATTGCATCTGCCAGGCCACAAATGTACAACATCAGCTCAGGGCAACAAGCACAGAAGTTCTAGTGTAGCTGTTTGCACAAGCAAAGCTACCGGGAGAGGGGAAAATCTTTCTCATTGGGTTCAGACACTGACAGAATGAACCAATAAACCACATTTCTGACTGTTATCGGATCTCTCAGGGCCAGTAAGGCCAGGAACGTTCATTTACCGGCACTGTCAGTTCCAGACAGTGTTGCAATATCAATTACTCCAGCATAATGGCCTATCAGTCAGGCAGCAGTTCTGCTGGGCCACAAGCTCCCCGTCATTCCTTGCAGATGGACACGGCAAAAGTCTCCTCTTTGTTACTCACCCTCATGCCTAACTCGATGTTTTCCCCTCCATAGACCTCCATACCAGGGTCAAGCAAACCAATCTCCCCAAAATACTCTCGGTCCACCACGAAGGAGCATCCAATCATGGCTGGTGTCCTGCACAGAGAGAATAAAGCAAAAAGTCGAGTCATTTCTGAGCTACTACAGAACCCACCTCGTAAGAAATTTACAGAGATAAAGCAGTTCTTGGTCTCCAAGTTTACATTTTAAAGGAAAATGAACATATTTTTTTCCTCCATGTGTTGGCGGATCCCATTGGTGGCAGCAGGTGGCTGCAGGAATGTTGTCATCACATCAGGTCCTCTTTCTCATCAGCAGTTCACCATTCCTACAGCAGGAGGTTAAAAAGGCTACAAACAAACAGCCAAGATATGGTTTGACAAAACAGTTCTTTGCTGCTGGGCCTGATGCATATCCTGACACTGCAGAACAGAGCCCACCCTGTGGCAGAACTATCTGGTACCCGTGACAAGGTTCATTTGCTGAGGTTCTGCTGTCTGTAATGGCACTGGCACTCCTGGTACCACTTCAGCATCTCTCCTTTGCACTTTTTCTCAGTTTGAAAGCCCCTGCCAGCTCCCAGATCATTCCAAGCCTACACTGCAGTGCACACTGTCCCTCTCATGTTTTCTCTGCATAATTGAAAAAGGCAGCTGTTGATAGAAACACATTTGATCAGCACTGTTTCTGACAAAGAAGTTGAAATAGCTTGATTAACTCTCACCCTTACAGAGTGAGATGCGTTCCCTGGATGATGAGCTGAGGACAAGATTTAATGGTGGTTACAACAGCAAACATCTGGCCTTCACAGATGTCTCTGCACTGATGTGGGGCTTCTCAGCAGATCCCTGCACTCATTCCACCAAAAGGGATGGAGGAAACTCAGGCCAGACGTCACAAACCCTACAAAGAAGCTGCAGCAGGGTCATCACAGCACCCTCAGTGCTTGGACCTCTGCCACACCCAGAGTCCCCCTTCTGTGTGTGCAAGGAATTCCAGTACTCCTCTGCTTGCTGCTGTTATCTGTGAGGGCTTTCTGTTGAATCAGCCTCTCGTTAGAAGGGGTCTCGAGGCTCTGTGGAAACCACTCTTGGTCCTGGGCACCTCCATCCTCTGCTGATGCACATCCCTGTACATCAGGATCTTTGCAAGATGGATGGCATTTATAAATTCAAGATATTTGATAAAAGGCATCTTCCTCCTTATACTTCCCAGAGCCAATCCTGGAAACAGACTTGCCTAAAGAGGGTGAGAGCTCTCCTGTGCTCAGCACCAGGCATATCCCATATACACCTCAAGGTCCCATCCCTTTCCTAATGAAAACCATATTTTAGGCTAACAAGGAATACATTTAGTCTAGAAACAGAAATAAAAGGAGGACATGACCAAGAGAAGCAAATTCAGTGCCTTTGAGGGAGTATTTCAGGTATATTTCTCAAGTTCATGATAAAAAAATGAAGACGATGGGGGGAAGAAACCCACACCACTTTTTTCATTTTCCTTTTTATGTATTTTAAAGCTAAACACAGGCTTCCCTGGAGTAAGGCATCACTGCTTTGCAAAACTGAGACGCTGGTCTGGGCTTTGATTCATTCTCTTCCCAGCCCTGTCTCCCTCTCAGAAGTCCTCTGGAGGCAGCTCCTTCCAGCAGCAGGATGCTCCCATGAGGATGGATCTCCTCCCTTCCTACTGAGGAATGGTACTGCCAGGCTTTGCAGGCTTCTCTCAGGTGCTGGAATCCCTCTCTCTGGGGGATGGATTTTTGCAGCTGTCGGCTCTGTCCATTAAAACACTGAGCTGTTAATTGAATGGGGGTGGGAAACGCATTTTGGATGCAGCTACATAATCATCGCTCACAGCCCGATGCCACTGAGGGCTGCCTCTGCAGGTCCCTCTCTCCTTTCTGGGCTTTATTTCTTCTCATCAGATATATTCAAAAATAGACTCCACAAGCCTTCATGGCTCGTTCAGAAAAAAAAAAAAAAAATCGTTTTCACGACTCAGCAACAACAGCAGCACAAGGACAGAAGGAACCACACCCACCTTTTCAGACAACTTAGTCAAAAATTGCCACTGGCAGTGGCTTTTTCTACCTGAATTTGGCTGCCTGCAGCCACTGATCTTCTGCACAGCAGTACTGCTGCCAGCCCAGAAACTGAACTGAGACTGGACACATCCTGACACGATGGAAGAACCTGCCTGCAGGGTACAATGTTGAGTTTTCTGCATATTCCATGTTCAGCATTTCCAGCAGAGTCACAGAGAGTTTTGGACACGGGGTCCTCACCAGGGCCAGGCCCTTCACTGCCCTGTGCTCTGACTGGCCCAGCTGTAAAGGCAGTGTGATGGGACTGTCCAGCCCAGTGGGGAGGTAACAGTGCTGAGAGTGGACCCTGACTCTGTTCCCAGCTCTGTCACCCCTCTGGCCTTCAGTGAGTCACCTCCCTCTGCCTCTGCTCCTCCATCCGTGGGGCACACTTAACAATGCTGGGTGAAAGTCTGAGAATGCTTCAGCAGCCTGAAACTCCAAAACTCACTTCTGAAGCATTTTAAGCACATAGCTGGATCACTTTATACTGGACTACAAGGCCACGTTGACACATTGCAAACTCTTTAAAAAAAAACCTGCTCCCCAAAAAGCAGGAGCCCCTCACTTGGCTGTCAGCACTGGGTTTTCCTGGTGTCTGAAACACTCCAGTATATCTACCACTTCTAGTGCAGTGCAGCAGACTTTCCTTGAAAGCTGGAAATGGATAGATGAGCAAAAAATCCAGCTACCTTAGCATGTCTCAACCACTGTTCACCAGCCAAGGGGCAGCACGTGAGAAGGTGCACGCCCTTAGCACTTCACAGCTTCAGAGCACAGTATATTAAACTTAACAACACCTGCTGTACATAAAGAAACCTTTTCCCTTAATCATGCACTTTCTAACAAAACAGCGACATTTTTGGAAGGAAGGTATCACAAAATAGCAATTAGAGGTGCACTATTTTTTACCAGCACCTCAAAGGTGTTGTGAAACTCAGCTGATCTGTGGAGTATTCTTTGACACAACTGAGGATGTTTTAAGCATTAATTATAATCAAGAGCAGCACTCGAAGGATAATGTGGGAAACACAGCAAGATGGGTTTTGCAGCTGAAAGCTTAAAAAGCAGCAGAGAATCATACTGATCCTGCACTGGAGAAAGACACAGCACAGTCAATTTGTGGAAATTACCTGATAGCATGGTTGCAGCAAGGGAAATACAAGAGAGACATTACTCTGGGTAATGCCATGGGGAAAGGGAGGAAGCAGAGAGAGCAGAGCTGTGTGAACTCTCCCTCCCTCTCTGCCTGTTGCAGCAGATGTAGTGCAGGCAGCTGGAGGGCAGAGAGGTACAGAGTGGAGAGGGCAGTGCCTGCTTTGGGCTGAGGCACCACAAACACAGGGCACGCTGGCCAGGGATGATGTAGGTCTGAGTCACAACTAGTTTGTTTTGGTGAGATCCCCAGGAGCACAGCTCTGTCAGCAAAATTCCAGCAGGTGCCAAACCCATTTCTGCAGCCAGGTGCACCCCCCTCCTTCCCTTCACAGACAACTGGAGGATCCTGCCTGGGGGGCTCCATCAGCAACAAGCCAAGGAGAAAGGGATAAGCACCAGACTGACACACACCCCCCAGATAAAGGAGGCAGCACAAAACACTCCACTGGGGGCACATCAGACTGTAATTTGTACACCTGAGCAGGGCACACGGCGCTCTCTCGAGTGGCTGAGGCGGCGCGTGTGGAAACACGTTCCTGCCGGTACCAAGCTATGGCAGATTAAAGCTGTAAGTGGGGACATATGCAACAATGAAATGCACCACTGCTGCTGGAGGAAGATAAAATGGAAAGCTGTGCAGGGCTTGGCTGAGCGAGGCTGCCTAACAACTCTAATGTCAGTGGCTGCTGATCAAGAAATCAAGTGCGGAGCGGTCCATCATAATTGCGGCAGGTGAGGGAGGACAAGTCAGAGCCAGAGCTCAGAATACCACAGTCCTTCCTTGCTGTTCCAAAACCCAGGAAAAAAAACAAAATACAGCATGCATTGAAAAAACCCCAGCTTGGTTTCAGTGCACAGCCAAATTCACTCGAAGCCCTCAGAAATAGGATCCTTTGCCACACAGTTTGCTGCCAGATGATCAGGACGGCAGTTTTTGGGGCAGCGGTGCTCTCAGGAACACAAATGGGTTGTGATGGGCTGGACACAGCGTGTCAGAATAACAATCCCCATTTAAATCCTCACGTTTGGGGACGTCTCACATCTCAAATGTCAGACGTGTAAAATGGATTGCCTGCAGAAGCCGATTCAGGGAACGTCAATTGTTCTGAAGTTCAGAGCGTTAACGTGGGGGAAGAGAAAGGACCGGCTTTAAAGTGTATCTGAAATCTTTACAAAATCTGACACTTTGTTCTTGCTATTTCTTTACCTTTGTTAGCACTTCAAGGCCACATCCCCATTGTCATTTAGACCACAAGAGCTGCTGCGACATTTTATGGTGCACACTTGACATGACTGCCGATACAGCGCCCCGCTGGCATGAGGGACAGCTCCTGCTCCTTCCCAGCGAGGCTCTGTGTAGGATCACACCACCGCCAGCACTCAAGAAATCAGAGGATCAGGTTTCAAATAGTAAAGAAATCTTAGGAAAGAAGTAAGCACATCTGTTGTGCAGTCCCAGAAGAAAACAGGAATCGGACCCTGCTTTCTAAATGTCTCACCCAGTTCTGCAGATCGATGGTATTTATTCATCCAGTGCAAACATGAGAAATGCCAAGGCTCTGATCCTCACTGACACCAGAGTACACACATTTCATAACACTGAAAATCTTTAATCCCTTTGGAGATCTGGCAGGATATACTCAGCTGCACCAACCACAAAACCAGTCCAGGGGTTATTCATTACAAGCCTTTCTTTCACAAAACGCACAAAGAGGCACCAACCAAACCCACTGCTTGCTGAAGAGAGTGTCAAAGGAATCCTTAAGAGGAAGAGTGAGGACTAAATGAACTTGCAGTTTTCATGCATATGAACAGTCCTTATGAAGCACCAGACACACGGGTCAAAACACCGTCAGTGTGGACCTGTTTGCATGTCTTGCAAAGTGGACTAAAATAGAAATAATTTCTTCAGTACGTGGTTGGGCAAGCTGGTTCCAAAGCCAAAATCTGTACCAAACCAACAGAGATTTTAAAAACTAACTTTGCCTTCCTTTGAAAATATACTTTAAATACCCTAAGCTACTGCCTTCCCATCACGGGTGCTTTCAAATTTCAATCCTAAGCACAGGCTTCCTGATTCTTTTCATCAACAACACTCACACATTCACTCTTCCCATTACCACACTTACACTGGCTTATCACTTAAAAAGCCACAAAATCGCCCTGTATTTTTCCACAGGCAGGAATAACCCAACAGCCAAATGCTTCAGCATTACAGGGATGAGATTCCTCATCCTCTGTTAAAAAGATCTGCAGTTGGATTTCCAGAAGTGCTTTGCAGGGGCAGCTTCCACGCCTCAGGGAGTGCATGACCTACCAGCACGGAAATAATATCTAAGATCTTGCTGAGATTTAACCTCTTAGTTCAGTCTTTTCTGGTACTTCATCATTGCCTCCAGAGCAGAAGATACTCAAATACTGGAGCAATCCATCTGAAAATTAATGCAGTACAGATTAACACAGATTTCCTGTGTAAACTGGAAGTCATGAAGTATGCAAAACCTTTCAGGTGTGGAAGACTGAAACCCTCTTTTCAGGAATGAAATCTCTGGCTGATTAATTTTCATTCCTCAATAACCTGTTTCTCAGGGCTGAGTGGAACAGGTATAAAACACCTGCACTTTTAAAGCCATGTGAAGGCAAGCAGGGCATGTTATCCAGGAAAACTGATTTCCTAAGTAATTACTTTCCTGCTTATTGAGGTTTCAAGCCGAGCAAAGGGTCAGTGATGATGGACTGTGCTGTCCTCTAGTAAATAAGGTTAATGTTACTGCATAGCTCTGTTTTGCAGTCACAGAGCATGAGAATGAACCTAAGTACAACTTGCTCAAATACAGATTGAAATATTATTCTGCATGAGGGACAGATCCTGTGAGGTGGTCCCATCCAGCTGATGGGATCAGCTAGTCTGTGTCTTTTCACTTCCAAAGGATCATCTGGATCTTTTCAGAAGGTGGGCATGTTGTTTGAAGTGCTTGGGGGAACTTGTCAGGACCTGACAACTCGATCTGTGCACTGGAAGGGAAGTAAATCAGCTTCTCTGCCAGAGCCCCCACTGGGACCACACAGTACTTTAATTTGGAGGTGATATACATGAAAATGGAGAAGATTCTGAGGTGGTAAATTGTGTCCTTTCCAAGAAATCTTAAAAAAATAGGGTAGAACAATCTAAAGTGCATACCAGGGCTTCATATTTTTTAGCATTTATTTCAAGAGTTGCTAACAACAGTACCCTTATCCAAGTACAGTAACATCTCAGAGGAGCTGTTAAGACAAGAGGAGGAGATGAAGGGCTGGAGATGTGAATTTTCAAATGAAGGGGAAAGCAAGCCCTTTTCACACAGGTTCCTGTTTTCCCACTGTAACAATTCTCAAAAACACCTTCACAATTCCTGTAACGGCATTTCCTTAGAAAATTCCATTTCTGTAATGTACAATGCTGCTCTCTTACAGAGAAAAAATAAAATGACACTCTGACTACGTGGTCTGGGTTCATTTTAAAATTCAGCCAGTAGAAAAACTCAGAACATGCAGGAAAAGTTCTCAAAAAAACATAAAGAAAAGAGCAACTCTTGAACAAAGCAAGGCCAGCACAGCTCCTGCTGGTGCTCATGGGAAGCTCTGGTTTGGGCTGATGGCCAAGACTGCTGCCCACAGACCAGAAGTGAAGCCAGCCTCTTTGTAATCATACACACAACCCCTCTGTTTCTCATACACACAACGTTCCACTGGCTTAACACTCGTGCCAGAGTCCACTGGAAAACGAAAGCTTAGATGAAAAAGATGCTGCTGTCCTACTAAAGGGCCACAATATGAACTTGAAGCACACACTCACACGCCTTTCTGGCGCAGCTCTGAGAGGCACCACACCCACCCCCAGCTTTGCAGAGCCATCTGTTTTCTCCAGTCCCCTTTCTCTGTCCCTGCCCAAAGCCTTTAGCCCAAAGCTTTCCGCTGCAGCTCCCCTCGGCAGACAGCGGAGATGGAAACATCGCTAGTCCCAGAGTGACAGCACACAGGAGATTTACCTGATGGGAGCTGACTCATCCCCTTTATCGAGCCAGTCCTGGGGTGGGATTATGTACATGCACCAGAGCCCCCAGTTGTAGCCGTGGGCCGCGTTGGCGTATTGCTGCACTTCGAAGGTGTTGTACTTGATGTTGTCGATGGCCGGCAGGATGATCCGCTTTCGGTCCTCTTTGATCCGGGTAAGCGCAGGTTCCACCCTGGGAGCAATAAAAACAGAGGCACGTTTTACAGCCACCCAGTAATGCCAGGCCCTGCCTGGCAGGCTGATAAAACGAGTTGTTTGGTTTTTTTTTTTAACCCAGCGAGGTGGCAGCCCGGAGTGCCCGGGGGGGACTGAATCCACACCGCTGTCACACGCTGATGGGTGGGGGACACTTCACACAGCAACTGCACAGGAATGACTACCTTCAGGACCCTGCACCAGAGTGAAACAACACAAAACCTGACCAAACACCTGCTCTGAGGCCTGGAGAACCGTTAATTCATTTCACAGTGGGCAAGTGGTGAGAGACACCCTCACCACGAGCAGTTGAATGGTCTCACCGGCTACACCACCAGGGACTCCTGGTAGGGATTAAACACCAGCTCTGGCTGACATGGCCTGAAGAACTAAACACACACCAAGGGGCTGCACGAATCTGAAGGTGACTCAAAGGTTTTAATCTTGTTTCCTAAGGACTGACCCCACCGGATCTAGTTTGAATGACAAGTGTGGCTGCATTATTCCTTCTAAAACCTCTTTGGTGAGGAGAAGATTTCAGTTGCCAGATGGTGCAAAAAGCAGCGAACTGCAGGAAATGTTCCATCATTTCAAAAGGCTTTAAAACATCAATGTGCTTTCAACAGAAGCTACATCCCAAAAGGAAAGTAAAAAGCTTCAGTGCAAACACTCATTTCTGACCAAGGTAGTCTGAAGTCGCTATGAATTTACAGAGAAAGTGATCCAAAGAGGTAGCAGACTTACATAAGGGTGGAAATCACTCCTCAAAGTAGTATTAGAAACAGCCACTGGTTCACTCCTTTGTTAACTGTGTTTCCCCTTGAAATAAGCTTTGAAGCTTTTGCAGAGCTCTCACATGTATCTTTAAGGGTTTGCTGCGACTCACAAAGGTAGTGGGATTTGAACACTGATCTTTTCTCATTTTTCTTTTGCTGTTGGTTAAAAGGCAATTGTTCCTTCATGGTTTCGAGTTTGTTACTTTATATTTTGTTTGTTATATTTAGTTTGTTGCCATGAATTTTCTCATCTAGGCCAACAGAAAGGGAAAAGCTATGAAGTTAATTCAAACTGCATTTTCAGTCTTCACTGCCTCTGTCTGAATTATCATAAATTTTCTGATCTCTTCTGTAAGACGACAGAAATGTCTCTGTAATTGAATACACCTAAATATTTGTCATTCTGTACACACTCTCCCTCCTGCTTACATGAGGTTGTGCACTGCTTGCCTTCTCTTCTTTTTACTGCTCCTTTACCAGTAAAAACAGACCCAGATTCAGTGAAACCCTCAAATATTTGATGATGAGCTGCTTACTGCAAATAAACCATCACAAAACAATGTAAAACAAGAGCACAACTGACAAAAAGAATGACGTTGCAAGCTGCAGAAATTTCCTCTGGTCAGGAAGGTTATGAAAGGGATGCCCATCCCCTGTTCAACACATATTATTTTGTTACCCTCCTTGATTTATTCTGGGAATAAATCAATGGATCCCTCATGACTGGAATGGCCTGAGGTCACCCTTACTACTGCTTGCCACCCACAATTTTAGGGGCAGTACTTATATTGTCAAAGCCCAAGGTCCTGCAAGGTACCAAAACCCTCCACAGAAGCACAGAAGTTCAGCAGCCTAAAAGAAGGACAGAGATTTCAGCTCTGGTTTTGGTAATACTTTTTTTTCCCTCTTTTTTTTTCTTTTTTTTTTTTTCCCATGACATTTAAAGAGCTGTATCCCCGACTCAAAGGAGATTTTTTTTTTCTTCCTGTGGGAGAAACAAGAAACAACTGAGAGAGACTTAGGACAGTGCAGGACATGATTCATGTGGTCTTTAGACCACACTTGGGAACCCCATAAAGAGCCACTGTGACCTTCCAAATCAGGATAAGTCACTTCTGTTGGCAATATGAGATTATATTTATGAGATAAGGTGTTTTAAAAACCAGTGGGTGGACAGCAGAAAAAGTCTTGCAAATCCAACAAAGCAGGGACTAATGCAGGAAAGCTGATTCTGCTTAATTCTTTCCATCATGTTATTTCTGGTTATCACCTTAGATTCCCATCACAAATCTAGTGCCCCCAACTCCCTTCTGGCCTCTGCAACAAAGGCTTTCAAAATACCAAAATAACAGGTATTGCTGTCACTAATGAAAGGCCACTAATTGTCTGACTGGAAGAAGAATCCTCCTCTTCAAGGTTTTAAAGAAAAAAACCCACGACCTTGGTGCAGATCACCCTCCATGCAAAGCACTTGGAGCAGGACCCTCATTACAGAACAAGACTGTTTAACCATCATACTTAAAACTATCCTGGAGCTTCCACATTCCTTCTACAGTTGCTCCTGGTGTGCTTATTTTCCAAGTATTTTGCTTTGTAGGGTAGAGTGAGATTGTGTGTAATGAAAACAGCCAAAAGGAGATAAGGAATTCTTCCCCCTTAATGTCAGGTGTCTGCAAAGGACTCCCCACATCCAAGGTAGCTGCCTCAAATTTTCATTCTCAGCAGAAGGAGATGGAGGCTGGCACTTTCATAGTCAGATGCTTCTCATAATACTGCAGACACTGAAACTAGGTGAGATTAATAATGTTGAATTATTTTGAATAGAAAGGGAATTTAGCCTGCTACTTTGCAAGACAGCTGAAAATTGGACTGCTGAAGTGTATCCCAAATAATGGTTAGAGAAAGAATGTGAAGAAAATATTTAACAGTCACTCTGGTTTTCAGCCCTTAATCATATCTGTGATTGTGTTAATCCAATACTTGAGTCCTGCAAATGCTAACCTGGGTCCTCATTTTCCTCATTACACAAAGAACAATCCATTCTCAGCTCTGGGGCTGCTCTCACACCAGCCATCACCAAACCACTCCTGTCACTCTACATTGACCAATTTCTGTGTTTTTCCAGTCATATGACTCACATTTATTACCACCTGACATGAGGGCTTTGCATCTGAATGGCAAAAGAAGGGGTCTCTGGAGCACAGTGCAACAGTTGGGTCAAAACACGCGATGAAATTCCATTAATCTCTTATCAATCTATTGATGTGAAATCTCAGATTTTGAACTTCTACGAAATCTGAGGCGTCTGTAAACTGTCCATGTGAGCCAAGTTCTGCCTCTGTCCCCTGCACTCCAGAAAAGCAAATGTCTAAGGTACAACTTCTCCAAAATCTCTGCCCTCGAGTTATTGCTGTGCCAAGGTTATGGAGTGAATTGGGATGAAAGCAACTGCTGGATCTTCCTTTCCTAAACCTCCCATCTCACCCTTGGAGGTGATTTTCCACCTCTGCTGGTATCCACATGTGTGGAAATCGTATCCCTGTGGGTATTAGGAACAGGCAAGGTTCAGTATGTGGACAGACTGCACAGCTATCTAACTTCCAAAATAGGTTCATACCCCCAAGAAAGCAAGCAGGCTCTGAGTCACAGATGGAAAGAGAAAATCCAGGACAGAGCTGTTCTGTGTTATTTAGCATAACCCAGAATGGAGAGCCTTTTAATTAAACATTGCATACCTGAGAGATTTCCCAGCTGTCCTGCCTGTGAAGGACAGCAGAGGTAGCAGTGGGGGATTTGGATGGGATTCAGCCCTGCCTGATCAGGTACCTGAGCCAGATGTGAATCTTGAAATTCATCCCTATTTTTCACAGAGGTAAAAATATTAGGTTCCCACCTTGCATCTGAGTCAACGTGCTTTATGGGCATAGAGCAGCATGGATTGTTAACAAGTTATTTACTGGAGCAAGAGCAAAAGTTCTCCCAGGCATATTCACAGACATGATGGATTTCAGGAAACTAAACATAATCAAAAGATTCAGCTTTAAAGGTAGTGCTTCACAGCAGCCACTGGGGTTCTTTTTCACCTAATAAAAACCAAGCAGACAATCTGGACTGGAATATGAATGACACATGAAGAGCCTCCCTTCCATCCTCTCTTAAAATATATACTGTCAGTGTCCTCCTCTCACTCTGAATAGATTGCTGATGAATGGATAAAGGCAGAAGAGAAAGGACAGTAAATTTAGTTCTCTCACAGACCCCACTAGGCTAAAGGGTGTTTTCACTTGGGTTTGAAAGATTTCTGCATCACCACTGGGTTTTCCAAGGTGTTGAACACCCCTGATGACTTTATTGGGAGTTCCAGCAATGCCAGAACTGTGGGCCTCGAGGACTGAGTGCTCCCAGGACAAACACTGGAGGCAGAAAAGGAGGGGAAAGGCAGAATTTAACCCAGAGAACAGAATAAAGCCTGTAAGGAGACCGAGAGCAAAGGGGCCAAACTGTGATGACACAGGCTCCTCTAATCCCATTGTAAGTCTATCTCTGAACTTCTATGCATTCTGTATTTAACACTGGGTTGATTCAGAGCAGCTCAAACCCCAGGGGAAAGCACAGCAAACAAAAAGTGTGTGCTGTCTCACATCCTTGTCAGATTGCCCGAGAATTCATGCCATGGGGAAGACTGATTTTCCACAATGCTAAAAAGAACAGCTTCTTTCAGATTAAAAAAAAAAAAAACCCAGATAGATAAAAAGAAGTTAGTTATGAGCTCCTCAGTGCACATGATTATATAATTCCCCTTTTAAAATACGTAAAAACACCTGCTGACTTCAAGCAGACTTTTAGAAAGGCACAAGGTAGGAATAAACGCACACAATCCAAGGGAAACCACATGATTGCTGCAGGCCAGAGGGCTGCCCAACTCTGCTACTTCAACAGCCTTCACAGCTTCAGGGAGGCTTTGCTAACGTGCAGCATCTGAGGAGCAAAGCCCACTCTCCAGTTCTTAATTAGAATGATTGTGCAAGGCAGTCGTCAATAAATTCCATGCCACTTTTTCTAAACTGGCTCAAAAAGTAAATCCTTTTCTTAATGACATGAATTGCACTGGGGAAATGTCTCTCAAATTCTGCCCTATTCCAAGTGAATACACAGACACCCTGATTTTTGGGTTCTTTTGAGATAAGCCTGTATTTTTTTTTTCCTCTCCCCCACCACAGTGCTAATTTTTACTCCAATAAAAAACAAAGAATGAACATTAAAAAAAAAAAATAAAAATCCATCCTCTATTTTTTCAGCTTTCACAAATCAGAATTTCTTTTTCTTTGCAAGCATTTAAGGAAGAGTCCTCACAAGACATAAATGAAAGACAACATGGTCTCTCACCTGCTAGATTTTATGGCTCGGTGGGTTTAACACCGTATTTTACTCTGGCTCTACCACTGTCAGACACCATGAAGTGTAAACTTAACACAGACAAAAAAAAAAAAAAAAAAAAAAAAAAAAAAAAAAAAAAAAAAAAAAAAAAAGCTGTGTAAACTGAAAGCTTATTTTGCATGATTTTATACGCTACCTCACATTTCCCTGACAATATACATTTATCAGATGCAGACAAGCAGATCTACTGACACACATAAATTCTTCACTGAGGCCATCTGAGGAATATTTCATGCAGAATGCCTTCCCTGTAAATAAGTGTTCAGAGAACCGAAAAAAAGAACCAAAAATGTCATACTCCCTTCCTCGGTCTCTAAGAGAAAAAGAGAGGAATTCCCCACCTGCTCTCCCTGACATCTCCATCAGCATTCCCGTGTGCCCAGGGGAAGTTTCAGACCCACAGCCCCCAGCCAGACCAGAGAGAAGGCGGCAGAAATGCCTGCTGGAGAGTTACAGATCAGCTCTTTGGCTGCCAGATCTCAGTGGCTCTTTCCTGCACCACTGAAAAGCAGTGAGGATGCTCCAGTGAACACTCTAGGTCGCTGAGGTAGATGAGAAGTTGAAGCTGCTTCTCTGGTACGTCCTCTCTGTGCAGGCTGGCACCGTCCCGTCGATCTGAAGGGCACACATGGCTTAAGTTCCCACTTCCCTCTCCACTCACATCATGCTAATTCACTTTTGCTATCTGAAACATGTATTCCATTAATTTGCCAAACTGATCCTGAGGCTTTGGATGAGGAAAAAACCTCCCTTAATAAACACATGTCCTTTCCTCTGCATAAAAAAACCATCCAAGCTCAACCCTGGCTGGTAGCAGGGATGCTGCAATGAATGGTGCTCTGAGCAGAAGGGATGTGCCTGAACCCTCCAGAGGGGAGGGAATGCACAGGGAAAGGGCTGCAAAGCTAATTTTGCCCTCACCTTCACCACTTCTCTCACCAGAAAGAAAGAAAGAACCAGCTGGACCTTACCAGGTCCCCAAAGACCCAACTGAGCTTGGATCAGCTTCCTTTTTGCTTTACACACCGTTTCAGGAGCCCACTGCTCACAGCCACTACAGCAAATTGCACTGCAGTGGCACCTGCAAAGTATCACCCACAGACCCAGGGATCTTGATCTTGAGTTCTTCATAGTTCATTAAAACACCAGTTTTCTCTATTTTTAAAACACTGCCAACTTCAGGCCTAATCCATAGTGACGGGGTCTGTGTGACACAAGCTGATGGATACTGAGCTTATATCTCAGGTTCTCTTTCTCTTGTCAGGCTGTCTCTGTATCTCTGTTATATTGAAATCTTTTGATTAAACCCTCTTACTTCGCTGCTTCCTTATTGATACTCCCCCCTTTGTCTGGCAAAATTTTAATTACTACAGTACTGCATAACTCCATTCAGTGCTCTGATATTACCTCAGTGACAGGAGCAAAAGCAATTCCTAAGACAGAATGTAACTATAATACTCTATAATTATGTCTTCTTTTATGGCTCCTAGCACCCTCTTTATGGCTGCTAATATATTGTGGTTTCTGCCTTTCACTTACTGATTTCTGCTCTCCTTCACTCGATGTGTCCTTTTTCTCACCCAGAGAATCAACACCCTATCTCTGCTGTCCCTCTTTCCTGCTCCCAGACATAATGTAGGGAAGTTCTCTTCTCCTCCTCCTGTTGTTCCATCCCATCTCTCAAAGACAGGAGTCCATACAGTGCTCTGCATGTCCTGCAACACAATCAGCATGCAGGATGTGATGCTCTGCACTCGGGGTTGGCACACAGTGGGTGGACCCAACGCAAAAGTCAGGGCAGGAAAGCTGAAATCTTGAGAGGACTGAAGGGAAACTGAGCTCTGCCAGCTTCAATGTACCCTCAGAGAGGAAAGGACAGGAGCTTTTCATGCCCACTGCTGCTGCTGGGTTGCTGACCCCTGCTAAGTAACCATTAAAACCAGACCTGGTTCTGCTGCAGGAGGGGTAGAATTTTACAAATGAGCTGTACACACACATTATCACGTAATTTCAGTTTAAAATTCCCTTTGAGAATTAATTGCAGTGGCCTCCCTTGCAGGCAGTCCTCTCCACTTTCCCCCTCACAGCAGCAGCATTGGCTCACACTCTCAAAAGCTGTGAGGGGAACAGGTCAGTCGAAAATCACCGCTCTGCAATAACATATTTCTACACCTGAGAAGCCAAAAAGCAGCAATTAAGCACAGCAAAATAAATAATTCAACAGCTAATTTGACCTGCCAGGTTGTAGAGTGGGTTTTTTTTATATCCTACCAGACTGTATTTTAGTTTAGAAGAAGTGTCCCTGGAGAGTAATGCTGTGAGAGCCCATAAAATGCTATAGTGAGAATTGAGGCAAAAATTCACCTGTAAATGGGCCACTATTGTTTAAAGCAGTTTTTTTTTTTTGTTATTGGCCCTGCATATTTCATGAGAAAGTGAAGAAGTCCTTCTTTGATTCTATACAAATTAATCTGCCAACTGATTAGGCAGGTAAAGCAGCCATAGATTGGAAGACTAGAATTGCACTGCAGGTACTTGACTTTCAGATGGAACACAGACCAAACAGAAAGCTAATACTCTTTTCTGTGGCAAAAGGAATTGGCTTCTTTTTAATTGCCTCACAAATAATCCATAGACAGCTTTGAGTGGGAGCAATCCCCGTGGCCTCTGAATACACAAACATGCACTGAAAATGGGGGGGAATAGTCATGCAAGATGCAGCTAAGTAGGAGAACAGAACAGCAGTTTTACTTTTTAACAAGAGACTCCTGCCTCACTCCCGAGTTTACAGGGCTGGGAGTGCAGGTAACTGTGACCTGGTGGGGAAAAAAAAAGCAGTCCAGATGGAAGGACTTCAGTCCCTCCCAGTAAAAGAAGATTAGGTTAAAATGGAGCTGACAGGCACCTGCACGTGGACAGCTCCAAAGCTAGGAGGAAACTGCAGCTTGGGCAGGACAAGCACTGGGAACAGCACCCAGAGCATGCTCCCCCCAGTCCCCAGTCCTGTCCCATGGCTGACATTGCCCTAGGTGAATGTTTGCAATGATTTGAAAGATCTACTTGCTTTAAAAGTAAATAAATAACTTAAGCCAGCTCTTAAGCTTCTAGAAAACTACTACAACTGCTATCATAGCCTAACATAGTCCTAGGGAAAAAATTGGGATGAACATAAACCAGGTGCACTACAAGACTTATTTTATTGCATCTTCCATTTTATAAAGATATTCATGAACATATAAAAATAAACACTCCACTCCTTTGCAATTAAGTTTCTCCCTAGTTATAAGTGCAGCTATTTTTAGTTTTAATTTGAGGATATCTCCCAGAATTGCAGAGCATAATCATTTCCACCATAACTCTGTATCATCGTTATCAAATAACAGCCTATCTTTGGAAAACACACATTTTACATGCTGAAGGTCCCAGCAGCCCTTTTTCAGCTGACTGTACATATCAGTTCCTTCAGTCCCAACATCAAGTAATGCAAAATATTGGCCACCAAGTGGTGCTACAAAGGTTTACTCCAAATGCAGATCTGGCCCATTAAACCCAAAACTGAGCTTCCTTTTTGTTCAAACCAAAGGGGGGGTGAGGAAAGGTGCACTAATTTCAAGCTCCATTAAAAATGCAGGAAATAATTCAACGTTTCCCCTCAAATGTAAATGCAAGAATATTTATGGGGGAATCAGATTGGTATTCAAGTTTCCAAGATGAAATGACAAGGAGGTAAAAGAAGCACTGGAAAGCATCCCTCTGCCTCCAGCCCAAAGCTCCTTCATGGTGCTCCCCATCTGGCTGCTCCAGGGATTTCACATCCCTTGTGCTTCCAGTTACTCCCCTCTCTACTGAGCTGTCCTAGACCAGTCACAACAGGGTTTTTATGGGTCTTGCAGTCACTGCAGAAGACTCTCAGCAATGTTGCAGTGATCAAGGGCATTATTCAAAAGTAACTGCTGATGGGATGACATCAGCCTGCAGCCTTCTCCCCCCCCACGGCTTCTCAGCCTCCCTGGGACACTGTCACCAAGCCAGCCTCCCTCTGGGGACAGCCAGCACTCACCAGCCAATGTTGAACTCCACGTGGGCATCAAAGAAGCCGACAACAGGAGAGGTTGCTGCTTTCCAGCCCTGGATCCTGGCTCGGATCAGTCCTTCCCGCTTGTTATTGCGCACTATTTTCACCAGCCCGGGGTATCTTTTATTGACATACTGGTCCAGATTAAATTTGAGCTCAACTGCAGGACAAAAAAAACCACAAAAACCAAACCACAAATATTCAGAATGAGAAAAGCCCTACAATGTTATGCTTTGCTTTAATTTATTCTGCAACAGAAAGGGAACGAGATCCTTAAAATAGTCCTAAACCCTTACTCATTCTCACAGATACAAAGCAAGTACTGTGGTTGTTCAATAATTACTATTCTAATTCTCTGATGACTTGCATTAGGTTACAAGTGGCCTCTGGAGGAGCAACTCTGACCACAAAGCAGTGTAACAAGGGAGTCTGGTGATTTCTTGTTCTGATTTATGCTCTTCAGTAAGAGTTTAAAAAATAACCCCAATGGATTTTGGGTCAAGACCTAATTCAGATCAAAATTAATTTCTCTTCATTTTAGGGTTTTCTCTTAAATATAATTAAGACTCCTCAAGAGTAGGCTTCTTTCCCATTGAACTTAATGGATATTGAAGATCTCAAATAGACTTCTCTTTTGTTCATTTTCAGGCATTCAATCACAGACAGAGCAGAATTCATTCACCCCTTTTTCAGCTTCATTTCAAGAGGTTTATAAACAGGCAAATTACCAAAATGGTCTCTCTATTTTTTAAAAATCAATCTAGTCTGGTAATTCATTTACACTGCAGCTTATTCATAATGTGGCTTTTGCTCAAATGTATTTATTAGGAAAACTAGAATAAGCTTCCAGGGTGTTAAAATCCTCATTCTTGAGATCTATAGTGCCCAGTAGAATCATTATCACTGGAATCAGAGACCTGATGAATCTCCAGTTATCAGGAAGAGCAGCAGAGAAAAGCCACAGAAGAGTTCACTGAGAAACAGTGAGTTCAGTTCTCCTCGTTATTACACTGACTCAAACACTCTGCAATCTCACATAATTCCTCCATAGGTCACGCTGCCATAAGTGAAATCTGAATTGCATAACATTTTTCTTACATCTATATGGTTTGGAATTCAGTTTTGTTTGAGCTCTTTCTTCTCTCAGCCTTCCTCTCTCTTCGGAGATCTTGAGGAGTGAGAGCCACTTTAAACTGAAACACTTAATTACAGCTGCTGTTCTGTGGAGGAAATGCTAAACTTTGGAATTATTTTAAATAAATATGATTTTAGAGGATGCAGCAGCTCTAGAAGACTAAGGTATAACAAAACACAACAACACTGCTAGTCCCTTGTATCCTGAGAGTTCTTCAAACCTGATTGTGTTGTGCTGATCTATAGCACTCTATATTTATGTATGGTTTAACTTTGGATTTCTGCAGCAGAAGTGCTGTTTTTACACGAATGAACCAGATGACCTGGGAGCTGCATGTGCTTTGTGCCTGTTCTGTTTCATGCTCATACACTAATTTACTCCCTAACTCAAAACCAGAAAAAGCATCAGGCTCAAAATCTGACATTACCAACACCTCTTTAAATCCTGAAGAAACAGTGTGCTAATGTGTAAAGGAGCAGAAACTATCTTTAAGGACAATCTGTAGCCCCACTTTTCCCTGGATGCAGAATTTAAAACTTTAATCTATTAATGACTGCGTTCCTCTGGATCTGAATATTTGGACAAAAGTGTCCTGTTAAGACTGCCCACACAAATGTCATTTATTCTGTGAGGATTTCCACGAAATCAACAGGGTTTATCCACATAATGTTTATTTGTTATACGAACAGTCAATATTTACTCAGAGCCTTGTGCAAATGGCTCAATCAACCCCTCTCATCAACAAACACGAACCCTTGCAAATTCTACTGCCTTCAATAGAGGTATGTTAATTTATACCAACATATGAGCCAATGATCATTAGCTGCAAATCAGTGGCTACTTAAGTGCAGAATGACTCAAAGGTGTTTCATCCAATAAGCATTTTGGCCAGCGGTGACCAAACTCCCTCTGATTTCATCTAGAAATCACAGAGCAGGAGGAAAAGCTCAAATTGCTCACCATTGTCACTGTTGTCATCCACCAGAATGATCTCCTTGAGCAGGTGGGAGGGGGTGTGGTTGACAACGCTGTGCACCGAGCGCAGGATGACCGAGAGCGCCTCGTTCACAAAGATGAACACCACCGAGATCTGGGGCAGGTCAGCGGGGTAGGTCATCTGCTTGCACCTGCAGGGCAGAGAGGCACGATTAAAAAAGCCCAGACAACCACTGGGAGGCCAAGTGGACCGGAGAGAATCCTCTCCTCCTTGCTCGCCATCTCCACAGGGGGATTTGCAGACTTTGTAACCCCAAACAATGATGTGGTAAAAGCTCGGAAGAAGCAGCCCAGGCAGGAGCAGCAACCTGTATAAACAAAGGGGATGAGCGTGCACACACATTTGTAGCAGCTCTCACTCCCTGGAAGGTTAAAAGCGCTTCTGGAAAACCAAAGGAATACCAATGACTTTGCTCAAAAACAACCTGCAGAAGGCCCACAGTGCTAGACCCGGGCTGTGCTCCCAGGGGAGCCATCAGCAGGTCTGCTGCTAGCTCAGAATTGGATCTCCAACTATTAAAGCCAGGGCTCACTCCGAGACATTTTGCATGTGCCCCTACAAGGAGCATTTACCACCCTTTCTGGCTTTGTGCAGCAACAACAGACACGCGATGGTTGTTGTACAGGCACACAGTGAAACATCTGCAAAACAGATCTGCTCCCTCCGAGACATCACCTTGGGAGGCAGCTACATCCTGCTTCACAATTTGCTGCTCATTGACACATATATGTTACCACAGACGATTCTGAGAAGAAAAATTGAGGCCTGGAGAAGTCACACAGCACAGAGCAGAACTCCTGCTTCCCAAGCCCACAGCCCGTCCCCATCTCCAACATCATACTGCCTCATTTTAGTGGAGTTCTCTCCCACTAGCAAATATTCTAACTTTAAAAAATACCTATGTGTTCTCACAGTCAAAAGCCATTCGGAATTACCACAGCAATTACTGAACCTGCTCTCTAAAATGCTGCTAATGATATCACAGGAAATGACTTTTCCTGCTCTTATCAAACTTTCTGACCCCTTTGCTCATTACTTTGGCATAACAATCACTTTTTTTTCCCCCACTCTCAGCAGTCATGGGGATAGGGAGGGCGACAAATGCCTGGCTGCTGAGTAACCTCTGGAAATCAGTTATGAATTCTGGTAAAATGCAATTATTCATAAGTCCTCATCCCAGCGCTACTTGCTCAGAGACCTGAGTACTTGTCACTGATTACAGTGTTCCTGCATCCACTCTCAGAGCTGGCAGGAAAGAAGGGATGAAAGGAAACATGGAACTGAAGTCTGGAGACAAAAAGGAGGTTGTGGCAGAGGAGGAGGGAACACAGCAAGAATGAGAATTCAGTCAAAGCAGCATTTACTACACAGAGGGACAAGCAATTAAAGGAAAGGTGGGATGACCACAAATATCAGAAGAAGAGAGATACCTGGGTTAGGTCCACCCCTATCCCTTCTCACTGCACCTTCCTTCTGTCGGTTCTCCCCTTTTTCTACAAGCAGGAAATGGCTGAAAAGTTGCATTATGGCCACATTTGGAAAGAACACCCTCACCATCACATATTGGAATATCTTGGGCAATCCCAACGCAACAGGAACATGCAGATGGGCAAAGGCAAAGCTCACAATTTAGCAGTGGTTTAAAAGCTGCCATAATTTTATTTATTGCAGTGAGGATGAAGAACAGCAAAAGCAGCTGTCCAGCTGAGAAGACTCCTCAAAGCACAGCGGTGATTTAGGAGTTTATTTCCTTCAGACCTCAAGTCAACCTTGAACCCTCAGCTCCTCAGGTCACTTCAGAAAATGAGATGGATGTGCTGAGGTAGTCAGGAGAAAGTACTGGTCCCCTGACAAACACTTCTGATGATGTCTGAGAGCAAGAGCAATCCCAGTTAAGGGGCCTTTCCTTAAAAATCAGTGGGTGCTTAAGTGCTTTGCTGGATTGTCGCCCAAGTTCTTCCCAATGTATTCTCTAATTAGATACCAGTCACAGCCATTTACAGTTAATACTTCCTTTATTCCAAGAAACTCTAACCAGCACTTGACACACTGAGCCAAACGGTGACATTAGCAAGTCACTCACGAGAACACACTGCCATCAAAGCACAACCATCCCCGTCACCTCCTGCCACCTTTGCTTGGCCAGAGGCTGACAAGAGACCACATGAACTGCAATGGGTCAGGCTAAAGAAAGCCAGAGTGTCAGGACACGTGAAGCATCAGGCAAGAAGGAACCTATGGGCTCGTGATGGAGGGGAATGTGAAGAAATCAAACTGTACAGAGATGTCCCAGCAAGGCACACCCTTATAATCCTTCAACCCTACCACCAAGAGAACTGTGATAATTAAGAAACCATCCCTTTTTGGCAGCCCTGCTGCTGTGCAGTGAAGTGCCTGGGTGTCTAAGGCGAGTGCTCTGCCCAGGGAAGGGAGCTGGGTGCCACCTCCCCCTCCCCACTTCTCTGCACTAGGTGTGACCACATTCTGAACTCAGGCAGGTGGCTGAGGGAGGACAATTACAGTAATTGACGGCCCAAACTTGGCCTCATTAACACCCAACACTGCTGAGTTCGGGAAGAATTAAGAGCACACACTTGACCTCTGTGGTGGGCAAGGATGGTCTGAGCTGGCCAGGCACAGCTTACATTCAGTCTCACTGTGATTTAAAATTAGTGTTATGAGCTGCCTCCACAGTGCACAACCAGCAGAGGAGCCCAGGCCTGCATGAGAAGCAGGGACTGTCTCCAGGGCTGACAGGTGAGCTGCAGAGGGACTCACAGGGACGTGTTTAGGAGCAGGGATTCCAAGCAAAGGCTGACAATGCCATGGCCAATCATTTCCACGGGCCAGCTGAGGATGGATTAGACCTGATATGTGAACCAGCCCTTCAGGCACCTTCCACACAACATGCCAAGCATCAAACCTGAGGCGTCCTGCTGTCATCTTGGGACAGGTCTTTGAGTGTTCTCGCTCTGTATGTGCTACTGCAGAGCTTGGCCAGCAACCCAGGGGTATTTCCTTTGTACAGGACAGAGAGCTTGATGTCAGGTCATTTTTCTCTGTTCTGGAGGTGATTTTCACTCACTCTTTCCCTTGCCTTGAATCAGTTCCTTAAATGAACATTTCCCAGCCAGCCTCCTGAGCCCAACTGTGAGCACTGTCTTTGCAGGCACAAGGAAACAGGAAAAGCTCTTCAGTTGGCAGACCAGAACCTCGGGAAAAAAATCATGTCCTAACAAAAAAAGGTCACAGATTAGAAACTGGGACATGAGAAAACAAAAGCTCCTCAGCTGCACGTGAACCTGCTCATGGCAACCTTGGAAGCTGGGAGGCAATAACGGGAAGGAGATTTTCTTCTGCCTGAACCCTCCCTCTCTGATAGATGTATTTACTCTATTTGTATCTGATCCAACAGGAACATGTGAGAGTCCTCTATTTATCAGAGCTGCTCTTACAGTCCATTTGGGATGCACTCTTTTTTGTGAGGGACTGGCACGGCAGCCACGCAGGTAGTTCAGTGCATTACCAAGGAAGGAAAAATCTTTCCTGCTCTATTTCCCCTGCCTTCTCTCCTGCCTGCAAACTTGCTAAAGTCTGAAAATGAGTTTTGCTTGCAGACCTGAATATACTGAGTTTGGAAATGGATTAGGCAATGCATTTAGAGATTTCTGACAGCTTTACCCTTCAGGAAGAAATGCAAACAAAATTAAAGCTGCTTCATGAATCTTTAAAGTATTTAATACAAGATATGTTTTTCCAATGAACCACTGGGATGGAGATGGCTGTGGGTTTCTCTCCTTCACAAACTTGATGAAATTGCTGGGCATGAAGAAACACCTGCAATTCTGGCACAAAAAAAAAAAAACACCAAAAAACAAAAAACTACCCCCAACAGGCTCTGCACCTTGAAAGCTGCAGAATGGTCTGGGATCATGTTTTACAGCCACAGAAGGAGAGGCAGGTGGAACAGCTCCTCATTTGGTACATGACCAATGAAAGGACAAAGATAAATATTAATAAGATTATTGAATTCTCGCTCCTTAATGGTAACAAACGCTACTTTTAATCATCAGGTCAATGTGTATTTTGCCAGTTAAGCCAAAGGCTCAGAGTAGTCTCACCTACACGGTTACCTTTCAGCACCTAAATGCTGCTGTGACTTCTGTGGGCACAGATGATCTGCCACAGCTAAATCAGGAAATTTAGTGGCGAGTTCAGGGCTTGATTTCTTTCTCCAGAAACCCACTGAGGCTTTACAGCCAGTGCTAGACGTAACAGTAACTTTTGAGCTGCAGAAATAAACTAGCATTGCTTTCCTGTTCCACACTGGCACAAGGGTGAAAACGTGACAAGCTGCAAACATCTCCTTCCCCAGCATGGGATCCAGCTGCTGACCAGTCTGCAGCAACAGCAGTGACAGGCTACAGAACTGATTAGCTTCATGGATCATGAATCTGTCAGCCAGGGGCTCCAGCTCCTTCCTAATTAATTCTCCTTCTCACAACAGAAGGTGTTAACTGCATTACACCATAACATTCTCTTGCCATTAAAGATGGATTTTCCTGCCCCATCCAAAAGGGAGAAAAACACCAAATGGGACAATTTTTGAACTTAAGGCTTGCTCTTCCTTTGCCCTCCTGTTTTGCAGCCCATGGACAGAATTCCCTAAGAATCACATAATATAAATACAGCTGTGATCAAGGGAGCAGTGGTACAGAACACTGATGCTCTACTGAAAAAAAAGCAGCCCACTGTGTTTACAGCTAAGGTAAAGAGAGGAGTGAGTCATTTTCAGAAAAACTAGAAATTATGGTGTTACCAGGAGATGCCTTCTTCACAGACCCTGTTCCTTATGGAACAGCCTCCACTTTGATTTATCCAACAGAATAAAAATCAGCACCTTCTCCTTTCTCCTGAAATTATCTGGAGAAGTGCAGGTACAAGATACAGTGCAATTCTTGTCAGTGCTGCAAGTCAGAGAGAACCCAGTAAAATAACCCATCCTCCATCTTTTCTGGTACACAGCGATGCTGATGGTCATTTTTACATAAAGTGAGATCTTAAATCTACTCCTCTTTTCATATGTTCCTTGACACATTTTTTTTTTCTTATTTCTCATCCAAAAGTCTA